AATGATTTTCATTTCAAAATAAATAAAATAGCCGTGACAGACTGGCGGCCTGACCAGGCTGTACCATGCCTCTCGCTCTGTTGCAGCTGGGAAGACTCCAGTAAGTAAAGCTGCCTTTTGTCTGTTTTGGGAATGTTTTCTTTGTAGCACATGCCTAAGCCAAGCTGTATTTTACCCATGTGTGGGCACCGGACCAACACAAAGAAAAACAACCATCCTCACTTTCATCTTCTTGCTTGCTTCTTTAGTTAGGTTAAAATTATTACCTAAAATGTTGCAGCCACAGTACTAATAGTGAGATATTATTTCTCCCTTATTAGTTTGTCTTCGCCCTTTTAACCTAGAACTGAATTTAAAATCCTTCTTCTCAGATATAAAATCCTGAATGGCCAGGCTTTATAGTAAAGACCTCATAGAATCATATTATCCCAACAGAGCACCTCACTGGGATACAGGCTTATTCGTGGATCACAGAATTTCTAAAAGTAGAATCAGAGGCAGATCCTTCAGCTTTCAGGCCCGTCTTTTGCATGCAGGAGACAGACGCTCTCAACTTTGAAGATCTGGTTTCAAACTTTCCTTTTTGGTTACTGCTGGATCAGATGATGCTGATCACCAGGTGTCAAGTCATTTCTCATTAAAAATGAGTTTTTCCTCCTCACCATCACCAATTGCTACTCACAGCGGATTATCCAATTGTTGGGGTTCTCGTGGTGCACTTGGATCAAAGCACAGGGAGCTGGGCACTGCTTATGATTTATACGCTGGGTTAAATGCTGAGAAGGAGTTTCTCTCCAAGGATCATTAAAGATATCTTTGTTCATTTTCCACATGTCATCAAGGCTTCTGTTCACTATTTATTTTCAAGCTGCCCTATCATTAGATGCTACAAACTTAATATTTTATGCAGGAATCATTCTTTAATGACTGCATTTGTGTTTGTATCTTACCTATACTGATAACTTTGTATGTGACAAATATTCTAAAAGCTAATATAATTATGGTTTTCAGTCATTCCAACAGATTGTTTCTTGGCTTTTGTTTTAGTAGTGATGTCTTATCTGAAACCGCACCCACTTCTGAAATGTACCAACTGTCCATCCATACAGAGATCAGTTCAATGGAGTATTTGGGTTTCCAAATAGACCAGGGAGCACAAGTTTTGTCCACGGTCTGCCCTGCTTGCTCAGTTATAACACAATATGCCACTAGTATCCCATCATCTTTTTCAGCACTGATGTAATAGCAGAAAAATTGTACACAGTAAGGCGAAGACTGATTACAAAGCTCAGTCTTTACAGAGTGATAAAATATTTACGCGGATCGATTTAACACACCTTAAAGGACCTGGTGCGACCTGGACGCAGTTTACACATCAAAGTTTAAATACCCACTCAGAGCCTGTTAGCGGGGCAGACGTGCCAGCCATCCTGTGTGAAGTTGCGTCTCCACCTTTCTCACCGCAGAGCGCCTTGAACGGCACACTCCCCTCTGAACAAAGTCAGAACAGCCGCAGGACACATCGGCACATGAGCAGGTAAGCTGCTGGGCTTATTTCTCGCAGATTTGGGCGTCGACTAGATGTCTGAACAGGAAATATGATCTTACTGGGTGTTTAATTATCTTTTTTTTAGGGTTTTGGAGTTGAGTTCAAGCGGTGTTAGCGCAGAATATTTACTTATAAAAATAGTACTTTGTTGTTTCGCTGTCATCTTTTCAGAGTCTAAAATAGTTTGATTCACCGCGTGCGTAACACAAGTCCGCGCACACGGACTTGTGTTACGCACAAGAGCTGCACTCCTCCATGAAAGCCGGTATTGATTACCGCTTGGATGAAAAACGCTGCCCAGTGACATGGGTGTGTAAAAGTACATAAGTGGATGGAAACACACAAGTACTACAATTTGAGAAAAAGTGTTACATTTCATTATTTTATGCGGCGTATCCTATACATCCTAATAGTGCGCGCGTATGGTCTTTACACGAAACGTATAAATGTCTAATGTATAAACGTATAAATGCTATGAAAGTACCAGCCCGTTCTCACTTCTGGCGTATCATACCGACGGAAATTACACCAAAAGGTCACACAAAAATAAGGACGGAGGATGTATTTGCATAAGGATGGGTTTGGGTGAAATTTTTGAATTAAAAATTCATCATTAAAATTAAATTCATTTTTTCGTGTAATTATAATAAATTTAAAAGGATGTGCACTTTGAAAGAGTAGTATGTGACGTGACAATTTCTCGAGTGAAGTTCTGAAAATGAAAACGAAAAACACTGAATAATCATGAATATGCGTAAATGTATAATTCTGACAAATGATAGTCACAATCAGCTCAAGTTCTTGCCGTTTATTTATTTTTTCATATGCTGCTAAAAAAAACTTTTTTAATTTATGTGCTGTTTTCCTTTCACAACGCATCTCTTTTAGAGCAGAGTGAACACATTTATTTTACTAGCGTACACTTTTCCTGTTGGGCAGTTATTACATATGGAATTAAAATTATACATCAACTACAGTAAAACATAAGGTTTCTGAAAACTCACAATTCTAAAGAAATGTTCTTAATCTAGATATTAAACAAGAACGTTTCGTGACGATACGCCACTTATTAGTATTAAAGTGCAATGCAAATACTGGCCAGCAGGGGGAAACAATCAAATACTTGTGGCTTTAAAGAAGTCAATGAGAACCTGAGTTCCCTCATTCCAACATTTTCTAGATGACATTACTTCCCGTTTCAGATAATGAACTTCATGTGTGATTTAGTATTATGTAAATTAAGGTCATTGTTCAAATCAGACAGGAGAATAAACCATTGGTTAATCACTCACATGTCAATAGATAATGAACATGCCATACCTCTCACTTTTTCAGATTTACTCCTCAGTTGTGGCTACTAAAAACCCACAAATACAAAAATAAGTTCTTTATTAAATAATTTAAATATCTGGATAAAAACAAGTGGTAAAAACTGTGAGTGACATAATGATTTAAACAGATGACTTCATGTTTAGAATAGATTAAAAACAAAAAACAAAAAAATAACATATCATGTGTGCACATGCCAATTTCACTACAACACTGCAGGACTTTCAAAATTTTTAAAAGTCCTGCAGTGTTGTAGTGAAAATTCTCCAAAGTCCACCATTGTTAGGTCCACCATATTATATCCAAACGCAGCATTTTCACTGTCTGGAACCAAATGGAAACAAGTTTACACCACCTTTAACAAGAAGAAAAAAACATCTAGTTGATCTCTATGGTCTCAATCTTCGATGCTTCTATATCACTACTAAAGTCTTCATATCTGGGTTGACAGATTAATAAAACCCATTTGAAGTGGGTTAAAGCCACAGCAGGAGTGTAATAACCTAGGTCTTGCAGCCTGGTATCCACACTGGCCTGAAAATCTTTAGATTGTAGTAAGAAAAAAAGCACGATGAGCAAACATAACACCTCGGAGGGGACAGGGGACCCCACCTTCTTTACCAAACTCAATTTTAGATTATGCGTTTTAACATTAGGTTTCCACTCCCACAGGTATCACAGGAAGACGTGACTGGGTCATTTAAGAGCTTCTGACCGGAATTAAAACATAGAGCCTTTTCCTAACGGTTAAGCACAATCTTTAACACAAAGCGCTCCATGGACTCAATCAAAGC